TATTTTACTTTTACTTGTTTCAACTAAGTTTAATAATAACTGTCCTTTTTATTATAAATTTTTGGTATTAAACTGACTATTTGAGCTGGTGTGTAAAGTGGATTTTCATCATTTTCTTTACTTTTAATGGATCAATTCTCCTCCAACAAAGATTCAGCATCAACTGAAGTTTTTAGATCTCTATCTTTATTTTTAAAACCAATTTTAGACTCATTTGAATCTTCATTAGATGTATCAGAATAAATTGGTAATTTGAGTGGTTGACGTTCCTCTTCGGTAAAATGAAGGTATCTTTGCAGTGTTTGTAAATATAACATCCATTTCTTTCGGTCTTCCGTCTTACTATTCATAATATTTTGCATTTCAATATCTAATCGAGATAAACTACTATTAACCTTATTTTTTTGTTTTAATTTTTCAATCAATCCAGGTTCGATAAGTATCATTTTCTTTGCATTTTCCACGTTAACTGGCTAGTCCACTCACTAATCCACTCAATATTGCACCTAATATTATTGGTAAGAAAGTCCCTCCTTTTTGTATAATCATATTTTTTCTTAGTATATGTTTACACTTACGCACTAGTTGACGGAGTATATTTTTGTGTTTATTCAATTTTTGTTTATCTTGATCTTTAAGAGGTTCTTTTCCTTGTAAAACGTTATGAATACACTCACAAATACAGTTAATTTCTTCTTCATCACACGTTTTAAGTAATGCTCTTTGATATTTTTGTTTAAGCGTATGCAAAGCGTTTAGCAAATGTTTATGCGTTATGAGTCGACGATGCATCATTTAGCAATGATTTGAAATGTTTGATTCTTGGTGTATTTAAACTCTTTTGTGGGGACGTAGACTGTACAGAAACCATTAAATGGGAAGACATTTGTCTTGATACGACAAAAATCATTGGTATTCTGTTTTAAATCCACCATTAAATATCCATGCGTCTCTAGAGTTGCATCCCTGTAGGCACCTTCAATGAATTTTGGGTTATCTGGTGACACTTGTCGCGCTTCATATCTTATTTGAGTTTTATCTCGAGGGTTTTTAAAATATATTATATAACTTGAGTTTAAGGATATGTCTCTTTGCCCTTTACTCTGATGAAATAAATTTTGTGTTAAATAAAATACACCAAGATTCCTGTGATGACTACCTTTTGTAAATATATCCACAATTCTTCAATCGGACTCTCTCATTAGATCATCAATAATAACAAGATGTGGGTTTTCACCATCAAACATATTAACGTTTGGAATTCCTTGATGGTAGTTAACATTTGGTAAATTATATAAAGGTTGCATTTCATCAAAGCACCATGTGATCTGATTAAAAGCACAATTACATATTTCTTTAACTGATTTTATGAAATTTGTTACAAAATTTGAGTTCCCACATTCACTTGGTCCTGCCACAATAGCAGTAAACGGATGGATAAAGTGAAACATTACACACGTCTATAGTTCTAAGGGGTGAGATAAAAAATGAAAGTGTTGGTGTAAACAATTAATATATATTGCAAAAATTATATAAAACAGAATGATTTGTATACTATATCTAACACAATTAGTACATCATAATTTTACAATCAACTCAACCTCAAATAAATACACACACGCTAATATAAATAACAATTAACTTAAATTATTTACAATAAAACAACGATTAAATATGTAATAAACTCTACGTCATATTATACTATTATCATTATTTTACAATCAATACAAATTTTATTTACATGCATAAAAACATAAAATTAAAAAATAACAACACTTAGCGCAGTTTATAATGACCCCAAGCTAATGTTTCAATATTATTATCTAAAATATGCCTCTTTGTATCATTATATGATAAGCCAATGTTATTTAATTTTTGTGTAAAAATTGTGTGTTTAATTGGTTTAAATCTAAGCATACTATAATATTGCACTTTTTATTAAATAGAGAAGACTTATAACTATCCATGGTCATCTTTTTAGTGATACATTTATTTACCCCTTTTGCCTTGTCTATAGTCTTATTCTCAAAGTTAAAAGCGTACATTTTGGATCGTAAACCCACAAATTCTTTCGTGATTTTACCATTATTTTCATCTTTAATAAAACCTAATTTCTTTTTATTTAATTTTGGATATTCAAAAATATTATTTGTATCATAGGCTGAGGTATCAAAGTATGATGAAAGGTCAGGTTTTATATCAGAGTAAAATCATCTGTAAATATATGATATATTAAACTATCCGTATATGTATAAAATAATTTGATTTTACTAAACTTTTTAACCATATAGTTATAATGAAAATCATACATTAATGTTTTTGAAATATCTAAAATGTAAAACCCTAAATAAATTGGTTTGTTATATATTAACTTCGTTTTTCGCAACTGAACCGCAACTAGGTTTTCCGAAAATACTGAAAGACTATGAAATTGTGGTTTAGCGATTAGATCTTGAGCACCTAAAGCTTTGCCTTGGTTCTCCCAGTGTGTAACTAATTTTATGTTAACCCTTTTTTCAATATTCTCCATAGTCTTACCGAAGACTGAATTATTCATTAATTTATAAAAATCTTTTTTCGAAATCTGACTTTGCTAACGTGCTTAATTTTGTGTTTAGATCTATGTACATCTTCAACCTGGGAGACTGTTTAAATTTTAAAACTCTATGCATTTTAGTTAATTTAACCCCCATTTCTATGCACTGCTTTAAATTTCTGTTATGAATTACATATTTATCTTCATTATTTAAATTTGGAACTAGTTTATTTTCATTAATATTGCCTGCACAAATGTTTTCGGGACATAAAGGAAAGTCCGAATGTAAATCATGAAGTTCATCTGGATATTCCAAATCAACTTCTAAAATAAAACTGAAGTACGATGTCTCAGACACATTAAATTCTGTATTCGGATTTACCCATTCCAATCCACCAGTAGGAAGACATTGAGACATAGCCCAACCATATAAATTGTTGGCATCAAAATATGTGATATATAAATTTAGTTTCCCCGCATCATAATCCCCCATGTATTTGTTATTAGCTCTAGCATAACGATTACTACATTGAGATACACCACCCCTGATACCTGATCTAATAAATGCAATTTTCTCATAATCTGTTAAAAGTTCTAATTCTATTCTTGTATATTTTAACATTGCATCCCAACTTAAACCGGGTGCTGTGTAATAATGGGCAGGGTCTAAATCATAAGTATTAATACGTAACTTTCTAAAGATTTCAAATACATCGGATAAAAGTAAAACGTCTGTTTTTAAATACAGGTTTGAATAATCTAGCATATTACAACACCCAAAGTGTTTCCAAACATCTTTAGCATGATTGTAATCATCATTTGAAATATGGGAATCTGTGAGCGAGCTAACATAATTAGTCATAAGTTCATATGGATAAACGCCTCTCCGTTTTAAACGAAAGAAATCTTCATTATTAGGATAATTTCTCCGTAATTCTTGAAATTGATCATTACTGAGATTTTTGGCCAATTCCTCTAATTTACATGATAAAAACTTAAATGAATCTATGAATCTCAATATAATCTCGTGGTTATTCATTTTTAATTTTTTGGAAAAGGATAAATATTTTTCTTTATTTTGAGGGATAACTTCGACTTCACCATCACAAAAGTTTAACGCGTGAACAATAAAATGAGCATCATAGTGACTAAGGTTGTGTAAAAATATTGGTATATAACGAGGTGTTCTGAACTTCGAGCTACATGATTCATGAGCAACACCTATAAAACTACCGGTGTACCAATCAAAATCATAAAAAAATTGCAAAGAATTGGTATGGGTGGTATTTACCACCTTTTAAATCGTTTTGAAGATTAATTAATTATGTTTCAGAGAGATATAAATCCATCGACATCTCAAGACAATGTGCTTTGATTTGAGGGTAACAAATGACTTCCCGTAAAATACATCTTAGCTCCCACTCTTTTCCTAAATGATATAAACGTAAAATGTTAGATGGAACGTACAAATGGTTAAATTGTCATATGTACAGGTGAGATAGTTCTGATGTTTTAATGAGACTAAAAGTGAGGCCAATGATGGAGCATAAAACGGTTTGAAACGAGCTATCTAAGGACAAACGTTTTGAATTTTGACGTAAATAAAACAAACTTCATACATTTTTAGATTCGTAATAACCTACATGGTGATGGTGGTTGACTACTCTCGAAACTTTGATATCTCTTTTTGGTTACCTCTAGAATAAGATTTTTCGGATTCATTTAGGTGTTTAACAAACATAAATTGTATATGGATAGACAACCTAATTCGGAATAATTATTTTCATCCTGCTCAAATATCTCTTCCATGCGGGAAATGGGCGGTCAGTGCTGCAGTTAAGTGTATGTTAGTTATAGTATTTGGTAATAAGCGATAGTAATCCATGATAATAATAGTTTTTATTGATAAACATATTACATGCACAAAAATTGCAGTGGTCAACAGCCCTAAACTACGACAATTCCTTTATTTCAAGGGCTATTTTCCTAACGTATACTTAGATTTTTTTATAATAATTTGTTTTTTGATATATAAAAGATATTAAAATACATTATATTAAAGATATTAAAATAATTAGCTAAGATCCTTTTAATAAAATAAAAATAGAATGGTGTGTCTTAACTAGTTTGAAGAGCATCTAACGCCCCCATTAAATGTGTGCACTATCCCTGTCACCAAAACTCAGGTGTACGACTCGCCTCTGTTATAGGTGAAACTCGTCTCGTGTTATCGTCGGTGGTACATATTTCCTAGTGTAAAGGTGTAGGGAACAGTGGTGCTGGGATTAGTTGTGATGGAGATGATGATTGATGATAGATGAAGGTTAAAGGAAGGCGGGAGGTGCTGTTAAAACTAGGAAAGACATCTTATATTTACATTATATTTGCAATGATACATGTGTCGTAGGTTCAGCGAAGCTGATCAGGTGGATCCGTGCGCACGGGCACGCGCGTAGCACACGCAATGTCGCCGCCAACGGCTGCGCAGGTGCTCGCCGCTATGCGCGCGCTGTGTACGCTGCAAGGCCTGCGCCGCGTGCACACGTTGCGTGACAACACGCACTACTTCCGCCGCAGGTACACTTGTGCGACAACACGCACTACTTCCACCGCAGGTACACGTGCTCGTCAACACGCTCTACTTACGCTGCAGCTAGATGCACGGTGCACGCCATGTGCCGACAGGCACTTTTTACACAAAGACACATTCATTTTTCATTAAAAATCAAATACAGATACGCTGTTTGCTTTGGACTAAGATAAAATAGCATATTAGTAAAAAAGAGTAAAAGGGAGATCTTCATTATTCACTACAATTAATACAACATTATTTTTTCATTTGAGTCCGCTGTCGCGCGCGATTGCAAGTGGACGGCTGCGCCTATACTTCAGCAAAAATAGCTTCGGATATTGTAAAATGTGCAAATTGTAATATAGTGATTAACGAACTACTAGCATTTATTCAAAATAAGGCGGATGTAATGGACGAGGTTTCTCTTACAAGATTATGCTGTGATAGTTTTTCTGATAGTGAAATAGTGGCTGCAAAGAAGCTGTTCTTTAATTCTGTCCCGGAATCGAAGCGCAAAACTCGCAAGAATAAAGGTAAAAATGCTCGAGACATTGATGATATTATATGTCTCTTTAAAACTACCGACCCTGAATTAGTACCTATCTTTGTTGCTCGTGATCTTCGAAAATTACCACCTATCACGTTTGACCACATAGATGTAACGCAGCTATTAAAATATATTATTACGCCAAAGTCCGATGTACACGCTTTAAAAACTGATAGCGCTACTCTAAGTCAGCTGTTAGATCTAAAAACGGAGATAGATAATCTAAAACAAGCATCAATCATTTGCAATAAGTTTGACTTTGTCAATAGAAAAAGAGGCAATTTCACAGCAGATTTAGAAAACTATGATAGTGGGCCAATGGCATTGCAAAATTATTCCCAGGAGATCCCGGGTAAAGACAATTCACCCACATCTTTAACATCACAAAAGAACTATAACAAAGTTTCTCCTACATATGTAGGTATGCAACAAAATATTTTATCAACGCCGCAGAGAAATAATAACAGCGCGGAGCAATCAGCTGGCATTACGCATACAACAAGTGTTAAAGAATTGTGTAGTGCTATCTCGCCTAAGCAGGTAAAGGAAGCTAATGAATTAGCTCGTGTTAGTGGTAAAACGAATAAACGGTGTGTGTCCACTACTATTTGTTCAAATACTACGAACTCGAATGTAAACAAAGAGGTTTTATCATATTGTCATTCTAATGAGCGAAAAACGTTGAATAGTATGGAGTGGAACGTGAACAAATAGTAGGAGAAAAGTGGACGTTGGTTACTAACACGAAACGAAAAAATTCAGCGTCCGGTAAAAGGATGGGAAAAGCCGATGTTGGACCAGATGGAAAATTTAAGGCAGCAATAATCAAAATTCCTTTGTTTATTTCCAATGTGTCGAAGGACATAAAGGAAAGTGATATTATTTCATACATTAAAGATAAAACACAGGAAGAAACGTCTTTATTTAAAATTAATAGAAAAATTGAAAAGAAATATAATTCTTTCAAGCTTTATGTGTCCAAGCTGGATGTTTTTCTTGACAATAAGTTCTGGCCTGACGGCATAACCTTTAGGCGTTTTACAAATGATAACTTTAAGTTAAAAAACAGCATTAATAGCATAATGAAGCAAACTATTACATAAGAATAGATAAACAAATTTATAAGACAACTAAATTAGCCTGTTTTAAATGCAAATCTGTGAAACGCTCAATTGATGCAGTTAAGTTTCTACGTCAAAAAGTCGATATAGTTGCTCTCCAAGAAACGTGGTTGCTTCCCTATGATATCCCATACCTTGCCAAGATACACCAAGATTTTGAATACACAGGAAAATCAGCTGTGAACATATCAGAGGGCATACTCAAAGGACGACCGTATAGTGGTGTGGCGATTTTGTGGCGCAAAGGAGCTTTTGAGTCAGTCACAGTAATAAACTGTGCTAGTGTGCGGCTAGCAGCAATAAAAGTATCCCTCGGTGACAAACACTTTTTAGTGTTTTGTGTATATATGCCGACAGACGCGAGTGATAACCTAACAGAATTCACTGAATGTCTTAGTGAGGTAAGCGCGATAGTCGAAAGTTGTGATGTGGAAGCAGTGTACGTCCTTGGTGATTTTAATGCTCATTTTGGTGAGTCTTTTGGACTTGAACTTTTAAAATTCTGTTCTGAACAGAATTGGATTTGTGCGGACATTGAAAAGTTAGGTATAGATTCTGGTAACTATACATTTGTCAGTGATGCACATGGCTGTAGACGATGGCTTGACCATTGCATTGTCACACAAGCTGCTTGGGACACTATAACTAACATAAGAATATTTTATGATGTATTCTGGTCTGATCATTGCCCCTTTATTGTTGAGTGCAGGTTAGACACTATTAAAACGAAATTAGAAGTTGCGATAAAATCATGTAACAAAGTAATATGGGGCGAAAGAGTCAGTGATCGAATCGAAGTATATTATGATATGTGTAATAACAAATTAATGTCACTTAAGGTACCTGAGGAACTTAGCGTATGTTATAATTCACACTGTAACAATACCCATCATAGGTTAATGCTTGATGAAATGTACAATAATATTGTTACTATTTTATCTGAAGCCGCTATACAGAGTTATGATGACCATAGATGTTATAAGCATAGTGGTCGTATTGTAGGTTGGAACAGACATGTGAGGGAAGCACATGTGATGGCTAGGTTTAAATATCGCATATGGCTGTGGCATAACAAACCAAGTAGTGGTCCTATATATGACGATATGTGCCGAACACGTAAAATATTTAAGAGCAAACTAAAATGGTGTCAGAACCATCAAGAGCAAATTCAACTCGATATCATAGCATCACATCGTAAGGCAAATAATTTCAAAAAATTCTGGAAAGCCACCAACAAACTTGATATTAAGCCTACCCTGCCTGTGTGCGTTGGAGGTGTAAACGAACCTATTAGCATAGCTAATATGTTTGCAGAGCATTTTAAAATGGAGTCGTTGCTAGTTACATCGCAGCCGATGCCCGGAGATGAGAGCTATCATGGTAGTCATGACTTCATTCGTTTTACACCTGAACAAGTGGCAGCTGCCATTAAAAATATGACTAGGGGGAAATCTTCCGGCCATGATTCTCTCAGCATCGAGTACCTGCAGCATGCCGGACCTCACCTGCCTCGATTACTCGCTACGTTCTTCTCTTCATGTCTCTGTCATTTGTATCTGCCTCACGACCTTATGCGGACAATAGTTGTGCCTATAATTAAAAACAAAACAGGTGACGTAGGAGATAAGTGTAATTATCGACCCATATCTTTGGCAACAATTATGGCTAAAATACTTGACAGCCTGTTGGATACACATCTGGAAAGTTATATTGAGTTGCACGATGCACAGTTTGGGTTTCGGTCTGAATTGTCTACTGAGAACGCTATCTTAGCCCTAAAGCACACTGTTGAATATTACACAAAGCGACGTACACCTGTATATGCATGTTTTTTAGATCTCTCCAGAGCTTTTGATCTTGTAAATTATGACATATTATCACCAGAGAACTCCTTAAGATATGTGAGAAGTATGCGTTAAACCATGGCTTGCGATGCAATGGTAATAAAAGCGAATTCATGGTGTTTAGGGCCGTTGGCTGTAAAAGCCCAGAAAATGTGCCTGCAATTAAATTGAATGACATTGAATTAAAACGCGTTGATAAATTTAACTACCTAGGGCATTTTGTTACCGATGACCTAAGTGACAATGTTGATATTGAAAGAAAACGTAGGGCGCTGGCAGTCCGATGTAATATGTTGGCACGTAGGTTTGCGCGGTGTAGTGAACAAGTAAAGATAACACTATTTAAAGCGTACTGTCAAGTTTTCTACACGTGCAGCCTGTGGTCGAATTATTCACAGCGGACTGTCGACACCTTACGTGTCCAGTATAATAATGGCTTCAGGATCTTGTTGGGGCTACCCCGATTTCGCAGTGCATCAGGCATGTTTGCAAAGGCGCGTACAGATGACTATTACGCCCTTATAAGAAAGAGAACAGCCTCGTTGCTTGGCAGGGTGCGGGATAGCTCCAACTCCATCATGAGAATAATTGCTGAAAGATACGACTCATTCCTCCTTAGGCAATATTACCGCCTATGTTTAGTAATAAGGCGCTTATATTTAAGAATTAGATTTAGGTACTAACACAGGTTATAAGTTCCATATTTACTAACAAATTTTATGGATCACTTGGTTATCTGAAATAAAATTATTATTATATTATTATTATTATTATTCTGATATTTCACGCGGTTATTCCCTACAAGGTCTTTCCCTAGTCAAGTTAACCTATTTGTACTGCAATCACAAAACAGCAGTACCGTGACTATAAAAAGTAATTAAGTAAATATTATAGTCCACGAGGAACTTGTTGGCCGCGCCTTAGGCGACGACAGGGGTATAGTCGGGGTTGCTTAATGAACGAATCGCATATGAGATTATTCAACGTCCAGATTTATCTAGAGATATTGCACTTCAACTAAAATAAGAATAGACACATATCACAATTAGTAAGTGAACGATGCAAGTGAATAATGAACGAACAATCAACTTTTTTACAATTAGTATTTTGTAATTATAATAAATTTGATTCAGGTAACAAATTATGATGATATGTAGCACAAGAATAAGCGTATTTATATCGCGTAGAAACACCCACGTTACGTTGATAATTTTAGTCATAAGGACGAGCCTACTCCCATTACATCAAAAAGAGCTCATATGAAATCATTCAGACATATTATTAATGTTACTTGATTCTGGAATTTCTGGATCATTCCGAATCATCTTGCAAGTTTGTAATGATTTTATCTATCTATGATACTATCAAACGTGATATCATGATTCTAGTATTAAATTTTTTTGGACATGTTCATCACAATGCAGTTGTGATGAACATGTCCAAAAAAATATAAGTGTGGCAGAAAATTCAGAAATATCCCAAAAATACAGTAATAAGTATATTACTCAGTGTTGTAATTTTTTTCGTTCAATGGATTTGTGTGATTTCTTGTCAGGTTATTTTAACATTTTTGACCACAAGAGTTCAATCGAGTTTAGATCTGGATAGTACGGAGGTAGTCGGAGAAAATTATTACCTGCTGATGAGCTTTCAGAAGTCTATAGATAGTGATTTTTTTCCGTTTGCATCATATCTTTTTTTTAAATACTTTTATTTTACTTTAAATGTGATGGTGTGGTAGCTCAGATGGTTAACGTTCGCTGTAAATATAATAGAACGCGAGTAACCCTGGTTCGATCCCCGCCGGCACCAATGAAATTGTTAATTGCAATTTTAAGTGCTGATTTACCACGTGCTCGGCGGTAAAGGAAAACATCATGCGGAAACCTGCATGTCTGAGGAATAAGAAAAAAATATTTCGAAGACATGTGAAGTTCGTCAACACGCATTGGGGCAGCACGGCGGACACTTCCTTGCCCTAAAACCCTCTCAGAAATGGGGGGAGGCCTGTGCCCAGCTGTGGGACGTATATTGGCCGTTACTTTACTTTAAATGTATCTTTAAAAAGATGCATTCAAAGGGTCAAATCTTGGAACTAAATTTTAAAGCAGTTTAGGTAATTATTACTGGATTCGGTACTTTTACTTTGATTGTTTAGTTTAATTTCTTTTTGTTTTACAGTTTATATTATGTTGCTTAGTTTTTTTTTCTCTTATAATGATGTAAAGACATATCCTTTATCTAAAAATGTAGTATTTTGATTGTAACAATGTTTACTGATATTGTCGATGGTGTATCTATTTAAATAAATAAATATATAATATTAGCTATAAACTCACTAATTTGTGGAATGTTATACTACTTTTCCTTTGATAACGAGTTTTACATATATATACAAATATCATGTAGCTAAAATTATACACAATCAAACCATATAAAATACTTTCGTTTTTTAGTTGAAAAATTCAAAATACAAAGATAAGATATAATATATAAATACGACAACACACTTTGGTATATTATGTCAGTTTTAGTTCCCGGTAAAAATGGCGCTTCTAATCGGCACAGACGTTTTGTATGGTACAGCCAGTCCAGCGTACTTGTCTATATATATATATATATATATATATATATATATATATATATATATATATATATACAGAGGCCAGTTATCTACGAGGACAACAAATAAATGAAATTAAAGTGTCTGTTTGTAACGTCAAAATAACAACTATTTACTAAATGCGTATGAAACTATATATGGTACTAATAATTTCAAAAAAAAAAACTTTTATTTGTCTGTTCTGGACAGATTTTGATGGGGCTTTAACTAAGGCTCTAAGGAGTAACTAAGGCTACATTTATTTTTGAAAAATAGTGCAGGTCATTTTACAGTACAGTGCATATATGTACATCCAGTAGTGTTTTGTAACGTGTGTGCGTGCGTGCGTGCGTGCGTGTGTGTGCGCGTGTGTGTGTGTGTGTGTGTTTGTGTGTGTGTGTGTGTGTGTGTGTGTGTGTGTGTGTGTGTGTGTGTGTGTGTGTGTGTGTGTGTGGTGTGTGTGTGTATGTGTGTATGAGAGAGAGAGAGAGAGAGAGAGAGAGTGTGTGTTTCTGATGGTGATGCTGCAGGAGCAGGCTCCCCGACAGGGGAACACGCTCGTTGGTTGAAAGAGCAGCAGGAGGAACAGGCCAGCCGACAAGAGGAAAAGGCCCACCAACAGGAGGAACAGGTCTGCCGACAGGAGAAACAGGTCCGCCGACAGGTGGAAGAGGCTCACGGATTAGAAGAGCAGCTGCGGGGTGAAAAAGAGGAACAGGCCCGTCGGTTGGAGGAGCAGATGCTCCTCATGAAGGACCTTCACGCTACCTTTGGGAAAGAGATAAGGGAAGTGAAGGATAGGGTTGTTCAACATGACAACCGCCTGTCGGAAGCTGAAACCCGAATCGTGGAAGCTGAAACCCGAATCGAGAAAGCTGAAACTCGAATTGACCAAGTTAACAAAGGACAGCTATCCCTTGCCAGGAATTGATGACACGCTAGACATGCTTACAGCTTGCACCACGCTGGATCTAAAAAAGTGGCTCCTGGCAAGTTAAAATTGACCCTAAGGACTAGGAGAAATTCACATTCTCGACGGGAAAGGGTCTGTGGCAATTTAAAGTAATGCCGTTTGGATTGTGCAATGCTCCAGCAACGTTTGAAAGGCTGATGGTGCTTGTACTTACCGGGCTAATTGGTGATGCCGGTCTGGTCTATTTGGATGACATCATCATCGTGGGCTGTACGTTTGAGGAACACCTTCAAAACCTAGAACGCGTGTTTATAAAGATTCAGAGTGCCAACCTTAAGTTGAGTCCGAAGAAATGTTCACTATTCAAACGGCAATTTAACTTTTTGGGATATGTAGTATCGGAAAAAGGTATCCGCTCGGATCCAGAAAAAATCGCCGCTGTAAAAGACAAGACGCAGGATAGAGCATTTTTGGGTTTGTGCTCCTATTACCGGCGATTTGTGAAGAACTTTGCAGATATAGCTAAACCTCTGCACAAGCTAACCGAGGCTAATCAAGGACTGTCTTTGCAAAACACCTATATTAGGATACCCTGATGCAGGCAAGGAATTTATAGTTGACACAAACGCAAGTGATACAGGAATCGGCGGTGTGTTGTCTCAACGGAACGGTGATCGAGAGGATGTGATAGCGTACTTCAGCAAGTCGTTACTAAAACCGGAAAGGAACTATTGTGTCACAAGATGCGAATTGCTAGCTGTGGTAAAGTCGTTGCAGCATTTTAGCAAATATCTTCTGGGGCGGAAATTTCTCCTACGAACTGACCATGCTGCACTAAAATGGCTATTTCAGTTTAAAAATCCAGAAGGACAAGTTGCGAGATGGATTGAACTACTCCAGGAATACGACTTTGAGTTCGAACATCGCAGCGGGAAATGTCATGGCAACGCAGATGTATTGTCAAAAAGACCTTATCCTGAAGATTGCAAACATTGTACGAGGCAAGAGAAAAAAGAGGTGGTATCCGTGAGGATGCTCAGGACAGACCACCTCAGCAACGAGTTGAAGGACAGCTTAGAACATGCACAGCAGGAAGATCCGGACATCAAGCCGATTCTGGGATGGATGGAGGTCAGTGCTCCCAAGCCCAAGTGGCGCGACGTCTCAGCGATGAGTTCGAACACTAAAAGCTATGGGGCCCAATGGGACAACTTGCTGCTTCAGGATGGAGTTCTGTGCCGTAAATGGGAAAATGTTCGGGGAGACCGCTGTCATTTGCAAATGGTTGTCCCTAAAGCTCAAGTACCGGATGTTCTACAGCTGTACAATTATGATTGTTCAGGAGACCATCTGGGAGTTAAACGAACTCTACTGAAGATCCGAAAATGGTTTTACTGGGTCCACTGTCGACACGATGTGGAGGACTGGTATCGCAAATGTACAAGTTGTGCGGCTGTAAAGGGACCTCAAACTCGTAGTAGAGGTGCAATGAAGTTGTACAATTTTGGTACACCATGGGAGAGAATAGCTAGATGTTTGTGCTGTTAGTCTATGCGACTCTTATAGCTTCGTCTGAGAGAATAGCCATTGACGTGGCGGGGCCGTTTCCGGAGAGAATAAGAATGAAAACGGTAACAAGTATTTCATGGTTTTGAAGGATTACTTCACTAAGTGGCCAGAAGTCTTCGCCATTCCAAATCAAGAAGCTTCAACAGTTGCAGATAAACTAATTCATGAAGTCTTCTGCTGTTTTGAAGTATGTTTAGAGATTCACAGCGATCAAGGAAGGAATTTTGAGTCTCAAATGTTCCAGGAAACTTGTCGACTTATGGGTAATCATAAAACAAGAATGACTTCTTATCACCCGCAATCTGATGGAATGGTAGAACGATTTAATCAGACATTGGAGAGGTACCTACCAGAAGTTGTAGACAACCGGCAACGAGATTGGGACAAGCACATACAACCGTTTTTGTTGTCATATCGAAGCGCTGTTCACGAAAGTACATCAGTGACACCAGCTTTTGCAAACTTTCGAAGAGAATTAAGGCTGTCTGCAGACCTGATCACCGCGATACAACCTGATGCCCCACGCAGTATAACCGATTATGCAAATGACTTGCGGAACAATTTGAATGACATATATAAGCACGTCAGACAATAACTACAAATAAATGTAGCCTAAGTTAATCCTTAAAGCCTAAGTAAAAGCCCCATTAAAATCCGTCCAGCTATTTTGAAGATTAGCCGTCACAAACAGTCAGACAGACAGATAGGCCAAAATTATTTTTTTTTTTAAATTATATATAACATATTATATACTTTCATATGCATTAAGTTAATAGCTATGGTATGTTTGTATGCGTTTTTTAACCTATTTATTGCTTTATGTTTCTTTTTTATAGAAGTGTCGTGAAAAATATCAATAATTAAATTTCTGTCGTCAGCATAGCAGTTAAGTGTATGACTGATGACAGAAATTTGAGCATATTTAGAGCGAATTTAACGGAACACGAAAAAGAGATGTGTGTCTGGTACGCTTCGAAGAAGTATTAAATTGTAGGAATAAATTACTAGGTAACTAAACTGTAGGAATAAATTAATAGGTTGCAAGGGTGTGATACGAACGTTGCAGGTTGTGCGAGATGGGCGTGGTGACATACGGGCATGAAGACTCGCTAGTGGTGCCGATGATGGTGTTTACATTGAGTAACATATCAGCCACTCTGGAGCGTCTCACGGCGCGCGATGTCGCCACCGTAGACGTAGGATTCCCTGCCACGCCGCTATACAAAAGTCGATTACGGTAATACGCTCACCATGCGCACCACGCTCACCACACGTACCACGATTACCATCCGCACCATATTCACCATGAGCATAACGCACACTATACACATTACGCTTACCATATGCACCACGCTCACCATACGCATGAAGCTCACGCGTGAGAAGATATGTCGTAATTTCCCGAACGCTGACCTCTCGGTCGAAGTTGGACATACCTAGTCGGACTATTTGTCCCAGGTAAACGTAATCGTCAACAACTTCGAGTATAGTGCTCCCAACAAGCTGTAAGTCGTAAGTTAGGCTGCAGATATTCACATAAATAAGTCAAAGATAAAATTCCGAGCTATGAAAATCGCTATTCCCTTACAGCCTACAAAAGTTCACTGCTGATAATTGCCGTCCCCCCCCCCCCCCACCTTAGGTATTATAAAAGTAGTTGCATTTTTTATATTAATTAAAGTCCTATTTGTAGTAATGTAATCACCTAGTTAAACATATAACTTAGTTATTGATACAGTCAGTGTTGATATATGAATACACTCGATATTTTACTGAATTATTTTTGAATTCATTATTGAAATTAAATCTGATATATAAAAATTAATATTTGTTTATTCGTATTTTATGCGCAGCGATACCGTTCATCAGATTGTGGTAAAACTTTGTCAACTTTTTGCTTACTTATGTGTTATAAGCATAGTTATAAACATAGTAAAGTTGACTTACAGTAGGTGGTGCAAGTGTCGTACGGAGAAGTTTATTTTAAAATTACATATCATTCAATTTCAATGAATGTATTTTCATTCCTAATTATACCATATAATTGTTCCAAATTTAAAATGATATTGTCGCAAATATTTCTGCTGTGGCAGCAACGAGCCGGGTACTAGCTAGTAGTGAATAAATATCATCGAGACATATTTTGTTTTGAAAAGCTTCAGCACGGATACCAAAACTTAACTATCTTGATGTTTGTTGTTGTGCAAACTTGAGCGTTTAAAACACTGTGTGGTTACTTCAGGTTCTGCCTGTCTGCGGCACACAGTCGAGAGCAGCTGGACACGTGCCTCGCTGCCATACAAGAAGTCGTCGAGGAGCTCGGCCTGCAGTATTCGCGGCGGCGCTAGCTGCATGCCCACTGCGTGTACGCTGCGTGCTCACTGCGTGTCAATACATTCTTAGTCAGTGATAACGGTGCTATTATTAGAATCGCTCGCAGTCGTGACTTGAACATACTTATTAAATATAATTTTTCTTAATACATGAAAAACGTTTCACTTCCCAAATTTAATTTACGCCGCTTAATCTTCCAAGACCTATAATCGACAGGAACTTGCAATATTTATCGGTGTACTAGAACTCTTGCCCATTTTGTATTTGTTTTAAAATTGTTGTAAAGATGATTTCAAAAATAGGAATAGAATAGAATAAAAAAATAGCTTACATCAAAATAAAGATGCATATAAAATGGGATAAAACATTCCATAGCATATAAAATGGGATAAAAATTACTAGACAATAACTTCATATGAAAGAAAGAGATAAAAATTCGGTTTACCATTTCTTATTTTTGTGACAGACTGCTAAATACTTCGTTTTAAGACGCAATTAAAGTATCTGTATTTCATCGTAAATTTCGTTGGTATATTTTTATGTATGTATATATTTTCATTATTCACATTAAATTCAATCAGTCCAATTTTCCACCACTTTTTCCAATACATTTGACCGTATAGCGTCGATAGAGGCTTGAATATTGGCTTCTAATATTTCAAAAGTTGCTGGTCTGTCTGCATAAACCAATGACTAACTTAGCCCCATGAAAAGTAGCCGAGAGGCGTTAAATCGCACGAATGACAGAATTGGTACAGTTAACAGGACCTATAACACTGACAGAGGCATCATTGACGATCGCTAAGCGTACTCGTGGATCAAGGTGTGCTAACACAGTCTATTTAAGTATACTTTTCTCAATAGATTGTTCTAGCTCGGTTGTCCAATTGATTGATTTAGTGCCTGCACTCTAGATGCATTCGGTACAAAGCGGCGGTAGAAATTCCACATGCCGAGATATCTGTGGAGTTTTCTTATGTTCTTCGGAAATGGATAATTCGTAATGGCACTGACCGTATCTGGTGTTGGATTCATTCCTTTGGCGGATATTGTAAAGCTCAAGAACTCCACTTCAGGATCTCCGAAGATTGATATTGCGCTATTGGTTAGCATTCCATATTCTTTGAGGCGCTCGAAGATAGATCGTAAATGTCTCTCGTGATCTTCTATGTTTATAGATGCTACTAAAATGTCATCAAGGTAAGAAAATGCAAAATTACAACCTCTTAGAATTTCTTCCATAAAATGCTGGAACGTGTTGGTTGGTTGTTCACATCATGCTAGGTGGTCACCATAGCGGCCTTTATGAAAAAGGGGAGATCTCACGCCGGGCAAGGTGTTCTGCCCGGGGAATGGTAGTTTATTTTTTTGCACCCAGAAGCAAAAGTAAAGGACTACCCTCCGGGGATCGGGGACGGAGGTGGTGAATGAACGCAGCCGGCTAGGTGGTTATGTAGGACTCACTGAGAAACCTCAGCGCCTACCCACTTAACACCACCTGAGACTGGCTTTTACCTGGTAAGGTCTTTTTGCCGTATCGGAAGCGACCACCTTTGGAAAAAGAGGGTGGAATGATAGTTCGGAGCTATTTTATATATACTGTTTTACATCCGAACTTTTATAGCGAGATTTAAGTTTCGATGTGTTTCTCTTGTGGCGCTACGACAGCGTCGCCACAAATGTATCCGATTGTATGAACTTTGCGTGTATCTTTTTTTCTTTTTTTTATTCAGTATAGATCACATGTAATTTTTATTGGAAGTCATTTTTTACTTCACCACTGGTTCGGTTTTATCCGATCCAGTAGTAAAGTAAAAAATCCTTTGTGCTGGGAAGAACCAGCAAGAAAACCAGCGGATTTTTTTAAGAATAAATTTAACAATGTGAATGGTTAGAAACTATTTACAGCTTAGAGGCGACCACTTCAGGGGTCAGGGCCTTCTCAGGGGTTATTATCAACCGTGTAATTTTTACGCTGTAGACCCACGCTGCAGCTATATTATAGTTGTAGCATGGATGGGTCGGCTCAACCGGGGCAGGACCACGCTCTCACATAATACCAGCGTAAAATAGTAGCTTAATGCTGCTGTGTTTCGTATGGCGAGTGTAGAGAAACGGAAACCTTTTTAACTGGAAACGAGGAGACGATTCCATCTTAGTCCTCACGGGTGACAACGCATCTGCATTTTGATTTGTAATCGAGGAAAGATGTAGATGTATATGGGCCGCAACAACCACTTGCCATCAGGTGGACTGTGTGCTGGTTTGTCACCCTATCCTATAAAAAAATTATTGCTATTTAAATGTAGATTACGAGTATTATTAACGCTAGAACAATGCACTCGTTTTGATATGGCATTATTCACTTCGTCACATTTAAATAATTGACATTTAAGTTCAAAAGTCAAGGAAGTGTTATCAGCAAATAATGATATTAGTTTAGTCATTAATAATCTGTATGGACGAAACGGAAGACCTTTTACCATTGATAACAACTTTCTGCATTTTAATAACTTAAATATGAAATAATAAATTTAAGCGCTGTATTCTTAACACTATAGTACTGTAGCTTCCTGATTAATGTCTCATGGTGAACACAGTTAAACCACTAAAGCACTCAACACAGTGGAAGGCCTTAGAAAAACTTACCCAAAGCATCCTCTGAATTATCCCATGGACAAATATATGTTTTATAAGCTCAAATCTGGCATCGGTTGTCGAGCGAAACCTTGTAAAACTAAATTAACTTATATGAAGCAATTTATTTACATTAAAAAATTTAACATCTGATGTAAAATAGATTTTTTTTTTAATTTTAATTAATGTTGGTGGTACAGATATTTGTCTAAAATTGATTGATTCTATTTTACTGTCAGATTTGAATATATGTATAACTTTATTAAGTTTCATTAAATCACGAAACACACCATATTCGACTATAATATTTAAAAATAGTGGCTGGATAAGATGCTATTGCATCTATTTCATATCCTAAAAAATTTATTAACGCCGTGGTATTTTTAATAATTAAAATATAACCTTAATAATTAATCGTTTATTTTTCAAATACAATTTTGCAAATTTTTGTTTGTGTTTTTATTTTTAATATTTTGTAAGTATTATCTACCTATATCCCACCAATTTTAGATAATTTTTAAGCTATTACAATTTGAAATATTTTTTTATCAATTGCAATATATCAAAAGCATAGATATTGCAATCAAAAAGCTTTTGTGGGAAAGAATAGTATTTATAATGATATTTATAATGAATAGTATTTATAATGATACCTATTCTATACATTTAAATACTGCTATTATTTTTATACCTTCAAATCACAGCGACATTGATTTCATTCAATAATCGTAGTTTTATCTTGGTTTAGCATTTTTAATTTCCTTCTTTTTAACCTCTTCATCTTTAGTTCCGGAAACCTCTCTGGAACACTAGAGTACGCTGGAACTGATGGCAGCGACTGCTCTCGTTGCTCCCTGGCTTCTGTTCGTCCAGACAGCCTCAAATGGAATTTCTAAATGCGTCTAATTTTATTTTAAGAAATGAAACAATTTTCAAGTAATCCTATAAGATTTATTTTTTTAACTAACATTTTTTCTTTTTTATCGAAAATTTTTTAACACTTTCCGTATTTTTGTAACAAGCATTTTTCTCCAAGGTGTATTTTTAATTCCTAAAATAAACAAGGGATTGTTGCTAATAAAAAGGACCACAATATCTACATTAACTCTGCTTTAAAATTAAATAAAATATATAAATGAAAAGCATTAAATTATACTTAAAAGTTGTCAAAATAAATCCGAAAATTCAATGTAGTGCAGGAATTTAATTAAAAAAGGAGTCATTCGATATTCATAAGTAACTTAACAAAAATATTAAGATGAGGATTTCTTGAAAAAAGTTTCTTACTTGGCCCGGGTAATAGATTTTCAAAATCTCCGCATAATATCAAACCCCAAAAACTCCAACTTTAAAATCTTCGCAATTTGTGGAATGCCCCGCATGTTGGCAACGCTGAACATGTGTAAATTGCGAGGCTACACTACTCGTAGTAGGCTGGCGGTAGCAGCGCGTATTTGAAAAGGAAGGGTAGAGTGAGCGTAAGTAAAGTAATACCTAATGCATTGTTTTGTACCGAGCTACATAATAATAGTTCAGCGTCCACGCAATTGTTGACTCTATAGTCAGCTGATTCCATTTTAAGTTTTACTTGTGATTTTATGTCAGTATTTTCATGACTTTTTAATGAGATTATCGTTTCATTTAGCTGTACTAACATGGTGGAGCTAGAATAATTCTAATAAAATGTTGTGAAAAAATGATTTTTTTCGTCGAGATCGATTTTCTTCTGTCCCATTATCATAGGGTATCGTTAGTACTATCGTCTGTCGTGGTTTTCCGAAGCGTTTCACAAATACCCGGTATGGAATGTATGTGATAAATTCATGTTAACGTGTTGTAACGTTGGTGAATACGAAAAATACGACAGGTTTTATGACGTACGAAATAAAGTTACATGGGTATCCTGGACTGACTTAATAATGTGTATAACGTAATCATGATTAAAGGATAGTAATCTTTTTTTTAATCAATTTAGAAATTATATAAATTGAATCCCTAAGCAACAGCGTATTTTATTTTAATATTCAATATTAATTGTATTATTATGTAATAGGATTCAGGATTCATTTGATATTTAAATATTTTATTTTGTAATATCCATAATATTAATAACAGTATTAGATGACTGATGCAGCTACTATGGTTGTAGCATGAATGGGTCGGCTCGACCGGGGAAGGACCACGCTCTCACAGAATACCAGCGTAAAATAGCAGCTTATGCTGCTGTGTTTCGTATCGTGAGTGTAGAGGACCGGAGACCCGTTTAACTGGGATAGAGGCATTCCATCTTAGTCCTCAAGAGTGACAACGCATACGCATTTTGATTCTTAATTGAAGATAAATGTAGATGTCTATGGGCCACAGCATCCACTTACTA